TGTTGAAGTTGCAGTGTAGAAGGCGATGTCGTGAGTGGAGGCAGCGTCGCAAGAAGGTTGAAGGGTCAAGGAACCAAGGCTTGAATCAAGAACTTGTACAAGGGAGCGAGTGTAGCAAGCAACCAAGGGCAAGTGGGTAAAGAGAGCTTGTTTCAGATAGGGGCTGGCAAATTGGAGTGAGAATGCCTTTTTTTTTCCAAAAGAAAACTCTGTCCAATTTATACTCCTGCAGGGAGGTTGACCGGTTTTCCTGTTTTGCCTATCTGAACAAGTTGCAAACTGCTTCACACAGGACTTTGCTCTGGGGAGGTGTTGTAAACCCCTTCTGTCAGGAACATGGCAGGACAGGACATGGCAGACAAGGAACTGAGAGGAGTGATGATTGTATTGGAAACAATAATTCACTTGAGGGATGGGACAGGTCCCCCATCCCCCTTTTATACCTTTTGAGAGTGTTCCTTGTCAAGACTCCAAGAAAGTTCCAGAAAGAGCAATTAGTAATACAATGATACCAATGATACCAATGACAACAAGACAAGTCAGGAAAGCAAAGAAGGTTCCAGAAGGTTCCACAAGGTTCCATGAAGGAATGTTCTAGAAGGTTCCAGAAGGTTCCAGAAGGTTCCATGAAGGAATGTTCTAGAATGTTCCAGAGGTTTCCAGAGGGTGATTCATAACATCATCTCCCCCTTTTAGGCCTCTTCTGCAACTTGGTGGGGTACCTGGTCTTGAACTCGAGCAGAAGGTCTTGGCAGTGAGTGAGGTTTGACTCAGGCTCCCAGGTGTTGTCAGCATCTGAGTAACCTTTCCACTTGACAAGGAACTTGAGTGTCCTTCCAAACCACTTGGCATCCAAGATTTGTTCAACCTCAAATTCCTCTTCACCTTCTGCCTCAACTGGAGGAGGAGGAGGAACAACTCTGCCTGGAATGGAATTGGCCACAAACTTCTCCAAAAGGCTGACATGGAAAACTGGGTGGATCTTCATGGATGCAGGGACATCCAGCTTGAAGGTGACTGGATTGATTTGCTCCAAGATCTTGAAAGGACCCAACTTGAGGTTGTCTAGCTTGGGACTTGGTCTTTTGGTCTGCAAGTTCTTCCTCAGAAGCCAAACTTGCTGACCCACAGCAAGGTCATGGTCCATTCTGTGAGTGTTGGCAAATCTTGAGGCATCTTCTTGGGCTTGCTTCAGGGTGGAGTCCAGGAAGGTGCTGATGATCTTGAGCTTATGTAAGTGTGAAGCCGCAGCAGGAGCTTGGACATTGGATAGGGTCTCTTGTCCCAGAAGATCTCCTCTTGGATTGAAGCCATAGGTTGCAAAGAAAGGAGATAGCTGGGTGCTTGAGTGGAGAGAATTGTTGAGAGCAAATTCTGCCAGTGGAAGGAGGGTGGGCCAATCATCCTGTTGATAGCTGACATAGCACCTCAAATACTGCTCCAGAGTCTGGTTTGTTCTTTCTGTTTGTCCATCAGTCTGAGGGTGATAAGCAGTTGACAGTTGAGACTTGATTCCAAGGGCTGCTGTGAGTGCTTTCCAAAATTGAGATCTGAACTGTGGTCCTCTGTCACTGACGATTGACTGAGGCAGCCCATGGAGCCTGAATATGTGCTGCAAAAACAGGTCTGCTGTTCCTTGTGCATCTATATTCTCAGTGCAGGGGATGAAATGGGCCAACTTTGTCCTTCTGCAGATGACAACAAGGATAGAGTCAAATCCATGGGATGGGGGCAGTTTCACAATGAAGTCCATGGATATTGATGACCAAGGGCTGATGGCAATTGGGAGGGGCTCCAGAAGTCCATAGGGCTTGTGTCTGCTGGATTTGTTTCTTTGACAGGTTTCACAGCTGCTGACATAGTTCTTGATGTACTTCCTCATGCCTGGCCAGTGGAAGTCTCTGGAAACAAGCTCATATGTCTTGTGCTCTCCTGGGTGTCCAGCTGTTGCTGCATCATGCCTTGTCTTGAGTATCTCAAGTTTTTCCTCTTCTTGGCTGATTTGAATCTTGTGAGGCTTGGGGTCCTTGGAAATAGCATGGGCCCACACACTGTCAGGAAGCAATGAAAGGTGTGTCTTGGATGGTGGGGTGAAACCATCTCCCCCTTCAGGTGCAAGGTCTGTTCTTCTTGACAGGGCATCAGCCACAGTGTTAAGGTGGCCAGGAGAATAGCACAGCTTAAAGTCATACTCAGAGAGCAGTTCAGCCCACCTGGCATGCCTCTGCTTGAGCAACCTCCTTGCCCTGAAGAAGGTGAGGTTCTTGTGATCAGAATAGACAGAGATGCCTTTAGAACCAGCCAAGTAGTGTCTCCAGAATTTGAATGCTTCCACAATTGCAAGCAACTCCTTGTCATGGACTGTGTAGTTACACTCAGCACTGTTCAGCTTCCTGGAGTAATATGCCACTGGATGCAGAGGAGCAGAGGGGTCCTGAGAGCTTGGCTGGGACAGAACAGCGCCAAGGGCATAGTCTGAGGCATCAGTTTCCAAGGTGAAGGGAAGCAAGGGATCCACATGCTTAAGGAGTGGTGCACTTGTGGTTGCTGTCTTAAGAGCTAGCCAGGCTTGCTCTGCTGCTGGGGTCCATTCAAACTTGGTGGTCTTCTTGGTGAGATCAGTGAGAGGCTTGGCTATGGCAGAATAGTTGGCAATGAAGGTTCTGTAGAAGGTTCCACAAGGTTCCATGAAGGAATGTTCTAGAAGGTTCCAGAAGGTTCCAGAAGGTTCCATGAAGGAATGTTCTAGAATGTTCCAGAGGTTTCCAGAGGGTGATTCATAACACCTTCCTACAGAGGGACAGTGATTTGAAACATTCAGAGCATTTCAAATCAACCAAGCTCTGTGTGGAGCCCTGTGTGCATGCAACTGGTCTCCCCACAGAGAGGGAAAATGATTTGAAATCATGAGGAGCATTTCAAATCAACCAGTCCCTGGTTCAACATTGGTTCAGACAAAAGTCAGGTGACCTGGGCAGCTGTGGGCTGCCCCAGTTCAACATTTCTCTGAACCCATTGAGTGTGATTCTAGTCGCATTGTCCTTGCCAGTGAAGCCTATGAAAGAAAAGCTTGAACCACCGCCGTCTTTACCCAACTCTTTTCATTGGATTCAGATTTGGAGATCCCGATATAGAGAGAGACTGTTGAGCAAGGTTTACGCAACTCCGCAGTTGGACAGTGCAAACCACATAAATGAACTGAGGGACACTGACTAGCACAGTCAAATGCCCTGAACCTGAATAACTGAATGACTGCCACAGTAATTGTCAGGCGAGAAAAAGAAGATAGCCATAATTACGTTATGGGACACAGCCAGCATCGAAGGCCAGACCTCATGATAGGAGTCCAAAAACGAACAAGAACTAGGGTCCACCACAGACAAGACCTTCATTTGAGTTTGATTTGGTTTGATTCGACTTATCAGACGTGAATGGCTATTTTTACTGAAGTATCAGACATTTGAATTGGGCGAGGTTGAGTTTGGGTGAATTTGATCCAATTCAAACAACCATTCAGAAAAGTACTAATTACAAAGGGCTCAGATCGAACTCAAATGAGTCGCTTGAAGGAAACCAGCCCGGTTCAAATTTGATTCACCCTATCAAATCAAATGCAAACATTTGCGAAGTTCGACTTTATTCGATTTGTGGCGGACCCTAACCAGAACATTTGGGTGACTTGTCGTCACTAAGGAAACCATGGCGCCTCAACAAACTTGCTTAATGCCCATGCAAGTTGGCACATACCTGGTTTGTTTGGATGCCAACGTGTATTTTCAGGAATACTCACTAATTTTGTATCTTCATTCTGGCAGCCTATTAGAAAAATTGGGTTCAATTTCAATCCCCCAAATGCAGTTTCTGATGCCTCTCCACGCAAGGAGCAGATACACGTTTGGCATTATTCAGCTGGGAATGCCAAGGAAGCCATGGATATTTTGGAGATTGTCTGGTGAATTTGGATTGGGAGTTCTGCCCTTTTTATTTATTTTATTTCATTCATTTATCTTGTTTGTTTTTGTATTTTTTTATTTTTTTCTCTTTCGGACTGATAATCTCAGCTTGATAGCTGAAGTTGAAGAAAGTTGCAATAAAAAGGCAAAAAATTCACAACAGTCCATGCACCAAAAAGGCCCGTGTAGCAAAGTGGTATTGCGTTCCCCTCCTAAGGGAGAGATCGTGGGTTCAATCCCCACCATGGGCTTGTGCCTGTTAAGGCCATGATGTTGTGTGCCTGAGAGCGTTTTCCCCACCTCTCCCACTCCAAAAGCAAGAAATCTCACTGGGTAGTGTCAAGCTTGACTCTTGAGAATGTTCTATGGTGTTGCTTTCTTGGTTAGGTTTTTGAGCTGTGGCAATCATGGTGCTCCAGGGTTTTGTTTTGTTTATTTTTCATTTTTTATTTTTTATTTTTTTCTTTTTTGGATTGGATCAAATTTTGAATTTTCATCCAGCTGGTGGCAGGTGTTCCTTGCTAAGCTCCTTGCCAACCCCAAACCTCTGCACTCCACACTAGCCTGAAACTTCAACACCAACACAGCAGTGGCTGCATGCAGCGTGCTTAAACAGCAGGTGTTGCATCTCCATAAGTTGTTCCTCTTATCTCAAGCCGTCGGCCCAGCCTGCATCGAAGAAGAGCATCTCTGATGGCTTTGATTGATTGAGAAGATGCCTGTTAGCTCCCCATGATCCCATCAAATCATGTGAACGCTGACAAACTAGTGCAGCCACAAGAAGTTAATTGCTACATGGTGGAATCGAACCACCGTTTCCTCGGCCACAACGAGGCGTACTAGCCACTATACGAATGTAGCATTGAGTGCACTTGTCTGTGTTCGGTAACTTGCCAAAAAAGAGCATATGTCTACTGATCTGACAGCAGCAAAGCATGGCAGTTGCGTGGTTTTGCTCAGAACTCCAGTTGATGGTAGATTTGCACACTTAGTGCCCACTGCCCAGTGAGCCAAAGCCAGTGCCCTTGCTGAACACGGGAAGGCTGTGGTCAGATGGCTGAGCTGGTCTAAGGCGCCGCACTCAAGTTGCGGCCTCTCACAAGGCGTGGGTGCAAATCACAGTATGACCATTTACCCCTGGCAGTTGGGAGATCCCCTGATTGCCTCCATGGGGACAGACACACACAGAGCAACACGTGTGTGTGGGACCCTTCTTGGGACAGGGTTGTTTTTCTCTTCCCGCTCAGGATGGCCAGTGCTGAGCTGGACAGTGCCGTGCACTGTTACGCTTGACCAGGGAGGCACTCGATGTAAAAGGTGCCTAAAGCAATCAGCTGCCAATGAGGGCAGTCTTTCAAAAAGTGCTCGCTTGTGAGGCTTTGTGTGGGTGTCTTTCTCAAAGAGGAGACTTGTTTGCACTGCATGGCCCAGCCCCGCAGCACCAATCATCCACCACGCGCAAATCGAATCAGACATTCGACTTTTTCTTACAGAAAAATCTTAACAAAATCAGCAATGGGACCAGTTTGTTTGAAAGGAGTGTTTTTTTCTATTTGACTTGATTCGCAATTTCGCAAGTCCAGGCTGTCTGACCTGAAAAATGGAATTACAGCAATATAATATCCCGAAAACTTTTGTGAGGGGCCTAATCACCAAATAGGAATTGAGTGGTTTTTGAGTTGGTTTGGAGTTGGTTTCAAGTCAGAATCAAATCCAAATCAAGTTGGTATGGATTCCCTTAAATGGCATCATTGGCCTCCGGCAGAATGGAAAAACTCATCACTTGTCTGTCTTTGTGTCGATGCCATTGGCCATCTTAAGGGCCACAGACTGACAGCAGAACGTCGCTGTGGCGGATGAATTTCTTTTTTGCCTGTTCGACCAGACTTCAATTTGGAAGTGATTCCCTCACCAGGTGGGAGCACCGGGCGAAGTCGCAGGGCAAAGCTGCCTGGGGAAGCTGCCTGGCAAAGGGCTGGGTGCAGTCAGAAGCAACGTGCCATAAGTTGCTGTGAAAAAGGTTTGAACAGTGTGCCTTCATTTTCCTGCACTCCTGCTGCTTAGTTTTCCTTTTGTGACAGATGGCTGAACCCATTCAGATGCACCCCTGTACATTCACAGTCACGTTCACTTCCCTTTTTGGGAAAGGTACAATCAGGATGTCTCACTTGGAGATGTAGCAACAGCCACCCTGGACGATCTCACAACTGCCATTGCCACTGTCTTTCTGACCTGACAATTGAAGATCGCTGGGAAATGGACTCAAGCAAGGTCAAGGAGCTGAAATACAAGCACCCCAGCCGACCCATCAACACTGCTGTCAAGCTGGCCACAGAGGACGACATGCTTCAATTCTGCACAGCCGCAGGAAAGAGCAAGCTGCGCACAACTCAGTGGGCTCTGTTCTTCACTCATGTCACCACCCAGTCAGTTCCGCTTCGTTCGTCCACCAAGAGGAAGCAAGTCCAAACAACTGCTGCTTACGCTGCAGGCCGGTTGTCTGCTGGCTCTTCTTCTTCGGACTTGTCATCGTCGAGCTCTTTGTCTGCTGGCTCTTTGTTGGCATCTGGCCTTCTCTGGCATTGGGTCTTTCTTTGGCACACCGCTTGTTGGCGGGCTCTTCTGGGACTGGCACGTTGGCAGGCACATTGAACCGTCGGACTGATTGGCAAGCAGCCACCCCTGTCACCGCGCTGATTCAGCGTACATCTGAGCCTGATGACTTCCTAGTTTACGAGCCCCCTCTTTCCTTTGATGCCTTGACAGACAGCAAAGCTGATGTTCTGCCATCAGTCCCTGGCCGACGCATAATGCCTGTTGCATCCACACCCCAAGAGGCTTTGGAGGGGATGATGAATGTGCTCCGTGCCCAATTTATGACTGAGAATGGTGTGGTGTAGAGGAACGCAGCGAAAGACGTCGAATTGCGATGTGACAGAATGATGCTCAAAGTGTGGGCACACTGCGTTGTAAGTTCTTTCTGTCATCAAGCGTGAAGTCCACTTATTTAGTCAGATTGAGAATGATTATGGGACCACAGTGAACTCACCACCCACTGCCAATGTTTCGAGGCAGCTGAAAGAAGATAAGAGTGGTCAACCTGGCCAAGGCAGAGACACATGTGGATCAAAACCCTTCAGCCAATTCTGCAGATCAATCAGCCAAATGTCACAATCAACTTCGAGGGTATCGACAGGCTTTTTGACAGCGGTGTTTGTAACAAGGGAAAGGGGAGATTATGGGAGCCCGAGGGAAGGTTGGATGGTGATTGGGATGGGGGAAGGTGATCAAACTCAATGACGATGGAATCCATTGGAGAGGAGATCGGATGAGTGTGACCGCTTCAAGCTCATGGAACTGGTTTTGAAGCATCAGATTACGCCTGCTGCTTTGCACTACATGCCTGTTGAAGCACTCCTTGATATGGGGATGCCTGCAGGTCACGCCTACCATATCATTGCCATCGCTACGCGTTGATTTCAAAGATTGGGAAATTTAAATCATCAATATCCAAAGATCCAGAACGTTTTCAATAAACTTCATTCTTATCCACTCTTCATCGTGCTTTGACAACGTTTGTAAGCTTTTGCTCCAAGACGAGGTAGATACTAACTACACACAATGGTGCATTGCTTGTTGCAGCGCCATCTGGCGCCTCATCCAGCGCCACCTTCAGGAGTGTTGAGGTTACCGTAGTGACCGAAGGTTGAGGTTGGAGTTGTTAGAGCAACGAGACGTTGACAGGTAACCTAGTTTCTTAATTTAGAAGAAAAACTTCTTGATTCTCATATTATTGATGTCCCTATTTGTTCATGTTGGCCTGACGCGTCCTTCAGTCCAGAACAAGAATCTGAGCATATCTCATCTCTTATGTTCTAAGCCATGAACGCTGGAATTGCTCTTAATACGCGGAGCAGTGCTTAGCAACTCTTAATTCCCCCTTAACCGCATCCGCTCGTGTGGGACTGGCTTACACCTGATGCAGGGAGCAGACAGCGTAGCTGTCGCTTTCTCCTGAAGAACCTTGGTGTCCTGGAGTTCCAAGTGAAGCGCTAAGCACACCGCAGAGGGTTTATCAACAAGGAGGCAGTGGCAGCCAAAGACAGAAACAATTTCTTTTGAAACCTGATTGCACCATTGTCTGTGCCCCACTCTCCTGGCACCCACAAGCTGTTACTAGCGAAACCAAGATCAATTTATTCACTCAGTGTAACCAGAATGACGAATAAAGCCCTTGGCTTTGTCGCCATTGATGGTCTCACAAACAAGCAATATAAGATCATGGTGCTCATACATAGCACGAAGCTGGTGTTCGAGGTACCAAAACCCTGCCTTGACAACAGAGAAGGCCTCCTCAATTGGATTGAGGAAGGAGGAATACTTGGGAAGGTAGACAAGACAAACCCCTTGCTCAGCGCAAGCAAACAGAACACAGTCATTATGGTGGATTCGCGCATTGTCTATGATAAGATTCTCGCCTTCTTCCAAGTTGGCAGTAGGACATTCTCCATAAAATCCATGAAGATATTGGCAGTAGATGATCCATCCACGGTGCATTTTGTGCAGATTTCATTGGCGCCAAGTGCAGCAATGAGAGTTGTGAGACGGTGCTCTCTAACTCCTCACCTAGGGCTATAGGTGGAAACTAGAGCATGGACCTAAATACCAATCCTGACTAATGAAAAGGGGCAAAAGGAGGGTGTCTAGGGGCACTAGACAGGAAAGTGTATTTGGAGTCTTAAAAAGCCCAAGAAAAACACAAATAAATCTCTAACACAAAAGCACCAAAGCATGAAACAGACACAATCACAAAAGAAAGCATAATCCTCTGGTGCAAGACACAGAAGGTTTCATCTGGGGCACAAGGCCAAAGCCACGTTAGGCCAGAGACAGAACCGACTGAATCGGTAAGACCGACTAAATTGGTAAGGGGAGTGACAAGCCACTACAACCCATCAAAAGAAACAACAAAAGAAATAAACAACAAGTCAAACCCTGAGTTGGAGGGGTTGGAGAGACAAAGGGCAGACACAAGGAACAGTTAGTGTGCAGAGGTGCCTGCTGAACCAAATCAGAACTGTTTTCCACTTAATAGAATCAGACACAACTTGTCTCACTCCAAGGAGAGTGTTCCAACTCAATCCAAGGAAGTAGGTGTAACCAGGGTGGGAGACAGTGGGACTCTTCTTGCTCCATCCTACCAGGAGACAGACCTCTGCCTCACCAGGCCAGAGAGAATAACCTGTCTTAGAAGCAAGGAAGGTCAATACCCACTCCCACACGCAAGGAAGACACCAAAGACAACCACAGGTATTAGCATGAAAGGAAGAGGGTCTGAACCCAGTGAACCAGGCCCACCAAAGGCCAAAGGAACCATCACCAGGACAGGGAGGAATACCAGAGAGACCATACCACCACATAATACCTGACCAGCCAACTCATTCATATCCTTGAGAGACCTAGATTTGAAGCAATGTATTGACAGGAACCGGTGAGGCGCTACCACAGTTTTACCCTCCCACCTTCCATCATCAAGTAGCTCCTACCCCAGACCAGCCTAAACAGTATGCAGAATGGTGAGGTGCACTGGAACTTGAACCCAGCACACTGCCATAAATGGCCAAGAGAACCAATTCTCCTGTCACACACCAGGGGACTGCCACTCCCAGCTCATACACACAGTCAGAGAAGGAAAAAAGGCAGGCAAGAAGACGTCAGGTACAGGTTCTAAGGGGCAACAAGAATGGGGGGTGGGCTGCTTAAATAGGAGAGGGTTGGAATCAGCAGGGAAGGAAGAAGGAAGGGAAAAGAAGGAAAAACATATACAAAAGAGCAAAACAATAAATAAAACAACAAAGAAGGGAGAGGAGGAGTGAGTCACCAAACAATGGGGCTGAGCCTCAAACAAGGAAGACAGTTCAGAAAATCATGGAGCATTTCTTGGCATCAGCTGCCAAGAAAGATGGAGGAGATGGGGAGAGCTGATTGGTGCAAAGAGGAAGACAGTCACTCACAGCCACAAAAGAAATGAGAGACACACACAGAGACAACAAGCAAACAAATAAATAAAATACAAAACAGTAAAAACAGGAAAAACAGGATAAACTACTAATTGAAAAAATAAGTAAAA